GTTCCTAATCCATAGGGTTCAATATGACGTCGGTCCACCCTTTGCAGCTAGAACAGCTTCAACTCTTCTGGGAAGGCTGTCCACAAGGTTTAGGAGTGTGTTTATGGGAATTTTTGACCATTCTTCCAGAAGCGCATTTGTGAGGTCGCACACTGATGTTGGACGAGAAGGCCTGGCTCTCAGTCTCCGCTCTAATTCATCCCAAAGGTGTTCTATCGGGTTGAGGTCAGGACTCTGTGCAGGCCAGTCAAGTTCATCCACACCAGACTCTGTCATCCATGTCTTTATGGACCTTGCTTTGTGCACTGGTGCACAGTCATGTTGGAAGAGGAAGGGGCCAGCTCCAAACTGTTCCCACAAAGTTGGGAGCATGGAATTGTCCAAAATGTCTTGGTATGCTGAAGCATTCAGAGTTCCTTTCACTGGAACTAAGGGGCCAAGCCCAGCTCCTGAAAAACAACCCCACACCATAATCCCCCCTCCAACAAACTTTACACTTGGCACAATGCAGTCAGACAAGTACCGTTCTCCTGGCAACCGCCAAACCCAGACCCGTCCATCAGATTGCCAGATGGAGAAGCGCGATTCGTCACTCCAGAGAACGCGTCTCCACTGCTCTAGAGTCCAGTGGCGGCGTGCTTTACACCACCGCATCCGACGCTTTGCATTGCACTTGGTGATGTATGGCTTGGATGCAGCTGCTCGACCATGGAAACCCATTCCATGAAGCTCTCTGCGCACTGTTCTTGAGCTAATCTGAAGGCCACATGAAGTTTGGAGGTCTGTAGTGATTGACTCTGCAGAAAGTTGGCGACCTCTTCGCACTATGCGCGTCAGCATCCGCTGACCCCGCTCCGTCAGTTTACGTGGCCTACCACTTCGTGGCTGAGTTGCTGTCGTTCCCAAACACTTCCATTTTCTTATAATACAGCTGACAGTTGACTGTGGAATATTTAGGAGCGAGGAAATTTCACGACTGGATTTGTTGCACAGGTGGCATCCTATCACAGTTCCACGCTGGAATTCACTGAGCTCCTGAGAGCGACCCATTCTTTCACAAATGTTTGTAAAAACAGTCTGCATGCCTAGGTGCTTGAATTTATACACCTGTGGCCATGGAAGTGATTGGAACACCTGATTCCAATAATTTGGATGGGTGAGCAAATACTTTTGGCAATATAGTGTATATAGAGAGAAACAGGTTATTGCACAGGGTGTTGCCCTAATTTAATATATATATATATATATATATATATATAGAGAGAGAGAGAGAGAGAGGGAGAGAGAGAGAAACAGGTTATTGCACAGGGTATCAATAGTAAATTGCACATTAAATGTTGCAGAAGTTAGTGCGGTCGTAGTGACGCATTGTCACATAATTAATTATGAATCAATGATGCAGACCAGCTGGGTGCTGCTTAAACGGAACATGATTGCAAGTTTTTCATTATTATTATGTTGTGTTTTTTTTTTGTTATCGAGAAAAATTAAACTGGGATTAATCCAGAATATAATGAGCCTGTTGTGTTGGTAAAGGTATAATTTACCTTACTAACAGGTTATCAGAGAGTTACCATCAGCTAAATGCTAGTGGATGTTTAGCAAGATATTGCATCTTCACCCCCAACACCCCCCTCCCTCTCCCAATGATAGATGAGCAACATTATGTTCAGAAACAGGCCAGTTAGCATCAGTACAGTCTGTGGAATTTCCCTCTTTTTACCATTTTTTATAAATATATTAGTGCTGTCAAAATTATCGCGTTATTATCGCGTTAACGCGAGGCCATTTTAACGGCGATAATTTTTTTAACGTGAGATTAACGCTATGTGGTTTTATGGTACAATTTTCCAAGTACATCCCGCTGCAGCCTGCGGGAAGGCGGGGCTATTTTCCCCCAGTCTATGCATTTCTCATAGGCTTCGAGAGCGGACCTCCTCAAGGGAAAAAGACGCTCATACACTGGGTGACGCTAGTGCCTTTTCTTTAAGCCCCACCACCAACAAACAAGTTGAGTGTCTGGTAACTAGTAGCAACCTGAAATCACAGCCATTAAAAGACATCTATAAAAAATGCATGTTTTATTGCCATTACACGTCCAGATTAATAAAAAATATCTCTCAGAGCATAAAGATAATCTGTCCTTTAATAAAGTTATAGTGAAACCTGATAGGAATATATTTTCACCATTCATGTGTTCATTGATACAGCTGTGCTGTTTGTTTTAAATAAGCTGTTATTTTGATAGGATGGAAATGTAAAGTTTAAAGTTACTTTATATTTAACTTTTTCACATTCTGATCATTTTCCTAAGTGAGTCTCTTCGGTGAATCTTTAAGCAGTTTTAAGGCTTGCTTTAAAACTGCTATAAAGGGGACAAATATCAGTGTCTTTAACGGGGCCCCAAATTCCTGGCGGTGCGTGGCCCTCTGGAATATCCTGCCTTCAGTCGTCTGCTTCGCTCTGATCTCAGACCTGTTCTTCAGTCTTCAACGTCTGCGACTCTCTAGGCAGCATCTAAGCTCGTTCTCTGGTCACAGACTGAACTTTAAGTTCCTGTCTTAGACAGCCTCCCTGTTCTCTGCAGATCCATTACTTTTAATGCACGCTGCTTTGAGATATCAAACTGTTTATCTGAAAACTATGTCCTCTGTTCTGAGCCTGACAGAATAATCTGGCCAAACATGGACCCATCGGCAGACACACGGTGGCTTTCTGACAATGAGAAATGTATTTCTCTGCATGCGGGAAATCCTAACAAACTTGCTTAATCAGGCCACCCCCACTCCCACACGTCCACCTACCTGTTGTAGGAAAATTTATATTTATCTTCTATTATACAATAATTTATCCTATTTACTCACTATAAAAGTTTTCACTCAGTCTGTTTCACTTTCAAGGCCACACATTTCTCTGCAGGATGGTGTTTGTAGACCAGACAGAGCTTCTTCCATAACAAACCAGATTCTTTCTCAGGTTTATTCATAACATGTTACTGTTTAACCAAAGTGTCTGTAATTTTTTTTGACTCTGACTACTTTTCCATGGTTGTAAGTAAGGAGGAATGAACGCTGCTCATGCAGAATGCCGAGCCATAAGGGCCATATGATGAACTGTTCTCTCTTTGCAAAGGTATGAATAAATGTGCCGACTGAGTGAAATCCATTGATCTCCTTTTATTTAACTAGGATGAATAGTTGAATACTTTTTTCCCACGACAGACAGCTTCCGTTTCTATGGTCTCTGCTGTCAGGCCTGTAGGTCAGCAGCCCGTCTGTCTCCCCCTGAACTGTTTAAGGGTGGTACCGCGCAGTTTCAGGCTTCCCTGATATTCATCGTTGAGGACAGCAGGAAGCTGGCACCTCGGTTCATCGGGCCGTTCCCTATTGCTACCGTTGTAAACCTGGTGGCCGTCTGCCTCCAGCTCCCTCTTTCCACGAGAATCCACACTACTTTTCATAATCCCGGGTCAAACTTGTTGTAACTTCAAGGTTTGTTCTCCCCTCCTCTACCCTTTTTACTGGACAAGATCTCACCCTGTGTCTCTCTCTGTGGAAGTAGAGACTTTGGTTCTTCTCCTCCTTGGACAAGCGTGTGCTTCCCAGCTGTATCGGTTTGGGATCTGGTGTTTGGGCCGGACCAGGAACTGCCAAAGGTCCAAAAGGAGTGGGGTGAGGAGCTGGTCGAGGATTCACTGACGTCAGAGCTCTTTGTTCTCTGCAACGTTCTGTGAGACATAGATCTATCCGGGTGTCAAAGTCCCCCAGCTGTGTCAGGGTCTGAGGCCAGTCACGGGTTGAAAGTTAATTCTTTATCCTCTCGTTTAGCCCAGTAATAAAAATGTCCTCGAGGGCATCCTCATTCCAGGTACTCTCTGAGGATAACAGGTGGAAATCTATAATATACTCCGCCACAGATTTACCACCCATCATCTCCTCAAAGCGTCTCTACTGGGAAGAACTGATCAAAAAACTCGGATTAGTCCCTGAGAAAAAGCACTGTAAGACTGACCCAAACTAGAATTGTTCTCCCAGTCAGAAGTTCTCCAAAGGTTCACTTAGCTGGCTAACAGTGAAATTACATAGGCAATGAAAGCCCTATCAGCAGCATATGTAGAAGGCCGAAGCTCAAAATAAATCTCACATTGATTAGAATCACCCTTAAACAGTTCAGGAGGTGAAAGATGCGGCTACTGAGTAACCTGTCTGACAGCAGGTGATGTAGGAGCAGAAGCTGTCATAGGCAGAAGTGTAGGAACAGGAGTAGCCTGACTCTGCAAGTGTGTTCGAATCTCCCACATGCCTGATTCCAGCTGGGAAATAAAGTTTTCTATGCCATAGGAATGCTGTTATTCTGCCAATGGGTCCATGTTTTCGGCCAGATTATTCAGTCGACCTCAGAACAATAAGACCCAGTATTTAAGACGGACAAACAGTTTAATTTCTCAAACAGTTTATTGGAAATTGAACCAAACTGTGCGTCAGGGCGCCAACGCTAAACAAAAGATGGGGTTAGGATGGAAGTAGCAGCATTGAGAAGAAGAAGAAGAAGTAGTCAGACCTTTAACAGCTTTTTTTCTTCTATGGTTTATCCAAACAATATCTTGAAGTAAGAATATGTCTAGATATATTCCTGTTCTGCTGTTTCATTAACATGGCATTGGTCTTTCTCTAGACCAGTGATCCTCAACCTTGATCCTCAGGAACCAGTGTCCTGCATATCTTAGACATCTCCTGGCTTGAATTAATCAGGCATCTGCAGCTCTAAAAGGCTGCTGAAGAAAATAAGTCATCACCTGGATCAGGTGTGCAGCAACAGAGAGACGTCTTAAACATGCAGGCAGTGGGAGAATTACTGGTCTAGAAGAACTGGTCAATGAAGCTCTTCATTCTGTTCTAATTAATGGGGTCTGGTTGGGTGTTGAGCTGCTGTTATGGACCCCATTCCCCCACCCCCACGATGCTCTCTGATGGAAAACTACTGTCTCTATGTCTCCTCAGTGAATGTATAAAGATCCAGCCCACTGACATCCAACCAGATGTCTTCAGCTACTTGCTGCACATCATGTACACTGGAATGTGTCCCAAACAGCCCGTGGACCAGACCCGGCTGCAGGACGGGATCAAGTTTCTTCACGCCTACCAGCTGTGCCGGAAGCCAGGTGAAGGACTTCCTGATGGCGCCCCTGACATGGTCCGTATGTCCAACCTTTATGGCATACAGATCTCATCCCAGCTGGCCACCAAAGATACATCAGGAGTTTCCAAAACCACTACAGTGTCCCGGGGGGCCCCTGAAGATGGGCTGGGGGCCCACTCCCAGCTGTCTCTTGCTGTTGGACTAGAGGGGGCCCCTCCAGACCACCAAGTATCAGCGCTACGCAAAATCTGTTCTGGGACCTCAGGGGATGATTCGGACATGTCAAGTCGCATCAAACAGGAGCGTGTAGAGGAAGAGGACGGTGATGTAGAGGAGGGGCCTGGGGTGGGGTCTTTGTCCCCCACACAGGGCAGCAGCCCCCGTCAGGGTCCTCTGTTCAAAGACCAGCCCCTGGTCCTTCAGTGTCCCCGTTGTGGGGAGCGCTGCTCCTCTCCTGAGGACCTGAGAGAGCACCTGTTCAGCCACGCCCTTGACCCTGCCCGCCTAATGGACAGGCTGCCGCAGGGTGGAGAGCTGGAGTCCGGTGTGGAGGAGGGGCTGGTGGGGGCCCAGGAGCAGCTGGATGCAGGATGCTTGGAGGAGGCACTAAGGCAGAGCCAGGCACTCGCCACTCAGCTGGCAGCAGAACTGAGGCGCAGCCGGGGTGGAGAAGGAGGAGGGTCCAGTCCTTCCCCCACAATCCTGCAGTCACGGAAACGGAAGATTGCCTGCGCAGTCTGCAGCCTGCGCTTCTCCCACAAGAGCCAGCTGCAGGAACACATGTACACCCACACAGGCAAACCCAGCCGCTTCCACCGCTACAACCGCCTCTGCAGCCAGCTCTTCCAAGGCTCCGCCCACTTCATTGAAGGTGCTGCTGAGCCCGGCGTAGGGGGTGGGGCCTCTACAGCACTATCTGAGGACACCAATCGGGACACTCAGGACAACGGGAGCTCGTGCTACTCATTGGACTCTGAGGTGTCCCAGGAGAGCGTGGACGGTGTTCCCATTGAGTGATGTCACCCAATGATGTCATGGTTGGAGACTTGGGTTGGATTCTGTGTACCTGTGCAGGTGTATGTGTAACTCAATGGTGTGATCATAGTGCAGCATTGATGAAGCTGTTGATGCCTTCATCCTTCAGAAAGGCAGCAGTGATTGATGAGCATCACCTTCCATTCTCGTCCCTCTCTGGTTTCTCTGGTCGGCATCCATCTTTGTGGAGATTATCAACCTCTTCCACCCTAGCACTGGGAGCACTGGCTTAAGCCCAGTCAGCTGCAGGTCCAGTGTCAGCAGATGCAGTAGTGCCTTGATGTCCCGCCGGTTGGTTTCATGTGGATCTGGATTGTGCATTTATAGTAAAAAGAAATGACACCCGCTTAGGAATGGATCTTGTGATCTGCTCCTCTCCTGGTGTCATTGTGGACTTGATTCGTCCTTAGAGATTTATATTTCATGATGACATGCAGAAGCAGTCCTGGAAACTTCTCATGGAGTTAAAATCTGTCCCAGAGTTTTAAAGAGTCCATCCAAACCTTTTTTTGTTTTCTTTGGCCCAGTCAAAGTCCACACCTTCCACTGAGCTACAGGCTGATAGGGACCATCAGGCCTTCGAGCCTTAAAGACCTGAAAAAAAATGGTGGAGAAACATTGGACCTGGAGGGAATGTCTGCGGTCCAAAAGGTGCAGGACGCCCTTTGTCCTCACTGATCTGGCATTTATAGGGTGTACTTACTTTTTAACAAGATCTGTCTAATGTGTACTGACTGAAATTTGTTCTCTTTCTTAAAATCCTGTCTTTGGTTTCTTGGATGTGGGCTTCTGTTGAAGAGCCATAACAGCTGTGTCCTCCTGCGGTTTGGTCTCCATGGAGATGTGGCTCATCAATCGATGAACATTAGCAGCTCAGATCAGTTCAAATCAGAGAGCAAATCCAGCCAGAGTTGCTTCAATTAATGAATGATCTGCAAATCATTCAGTCCCTTCAGCTCAGCTGTGACTCCAGAAAACCACACAGATGCTCCTTAAAGTTTTCTGAGGTCACATGACAAGAGTCATCACCGGTCGCTGCTCATCGAACAGTCAACTCTCTTACCACGTTTTCTCATGACCACAGGACGTTTTGTGTCTAAATGTTTTTTTTTTCACACGTGTTGTTTTTCATTAATGAAACTTTTTTGTAAATAAATGTCTTTCAACCAATCAAATAGAAGCTTTTTATTTCAGCTGCTTCTGGTCAATAAGTAAAATATTTAGTAAATTGATCTGTTATAGAAGGAAACTACAAAATTCCCCAAGGAACATTTGGAGGTGCCGGACAGGTCATTGTTGGACTGGAATTAAAGGTTTCATGGGTTAGTATGGATGAGCAAACATCAGTGTCACAACACCTGACGGCGACTGACCACATTCTCACCATTTCATCATCCTTACCACGAATGATGAAAAAGGGGTCCCTATGTCCTCCAGCATTCTAAGCCTATAGCAGCAGAACTATAGAGATAGAATGAAGCAGAATGATGAAAAAGGGGTCCCTATGTCCTCCAGCATTCTAAGCCTATAGCAGCAGAACTATAGAGATAGAATGAAGCAGAATGATGAAAAAGCGGTCCCTATGTCCTCCAGCAGTCTAAGCCTATAGCAGCAGAACTATAGAGATAGCTCAGGATAACCTGAGCCACTCTAACTAGAAGCTTTATCAAAAAGGAAAGTTTTAAGCCTAGCCTTAAAAGTAGACAGGGTGTCTGCCTCACGGACTAAAACTGGTAGTTGGTTCCACAGGAGAGGAGCCTGAGAACTAAAAGATCTGCCTCCCATTCTACTTTTAGAAATTCTAGGAACCACTAGTAAACCTGCAGATTGAGAGCGAAGTGCTCTGTTAGGAACATAAGGAACAATCAGATCTCTGATATCAGATGGAGCTTGGCCATTTAAGGCTTTATATGTGAGAAGGAGGATTTTAAATTCTATTCTGGATTTAACAGGAAGTCAATGAAGAGAAGCCAGCAGGGGCGTGCATACTTAGACACTAGATGGTGCTAAAGCACTAGGAAGTTTGCCCTTTATCAACGAAAATGCCCTTTTGAAACTCTTTTTTTTTTTATTATTAATATTATTAAGATTTTACTGAGGTTGGTTTTGAAATGATCTTTTGAAAACCTGAGCCATTAAAAACGACTGAAAGAATGCCCCGAAATGAGCCACCTCCTTGCTCACACCCGACCAGCCTATCTCTCATCCTTTGTATATATGATAGGCTGGTTACATGACCTCGCGCGGTCGCCCGCAGGGCATGCCAGATGCGCAGCTTCATAGCAGTTCAGTAAGCGTCTTCAGATAGCAGGAACGGTCGCTGACAGGCTGCTTCTCCCGTGCCCCATTAGCCAGGTAATATACAGATCAAGCAAAATCAGTTTGTTGTGCATTAAAATGTCTCATTCAGCAGCACCAAACAAACATTTTTGCCGACTGGTCACCTTATAAACTAGTTAGGCTAGATAAAGCTAGTCTGCTAGATAAAGCTAGATAAAGTTTTACACTGTAGTCCAAGTCAATGACAGATAACGTGAGGAAGACCACATAGGCTACAAATAATTTCGGTAGTTTGCAATTGCAAATCTATGTGTTAAGACAAACGTTTTCTGTTGTATAGGTTTTGTTAGGCAACATGAATTAACACATTTTGGTCTCTTTATTGTCTTAAATGTATATTGATTTAGTAATTGCAGCACAATGCCAAGAAAGGAGAGGCTGAAAAGAGAACGAATAAAGGAGCTACAGCAGGCAGCACAGGGAAGCAGCTCTTTGCTCTCCTGGATGACAGCAAAGCCAAACGATGACAGGTCAGAGTCAAGGTCAGAATCACTAACTGTTGTGAGCAATAGTTATATGCTATTGATCTGCTCCTTTGGGTTAATCGTATTGAAAAATCTTAAAAGCTGTTCACATTTTATTTTTAAGTGGTTTGTACAAAATCAGCAGGTATTAAAATAGCTATTATTTTGAAGGCTACCATAAGTCATGTCCATGTGACAAGACTTCCAGTCATGTTGCCCTAAAAGCCCATTATTTAAACTAATGTGGCATATTTGTTAAAGCTATTATTATTATTATTATTATTATTATTATTATTATTCTCATGATGGTTTTTATTATTATATTGTAGCCAGTCACAGCAGGGAAGCTCTATACCATCAACATATACCAGGACAGGAGATGAGGAAGAGTTCAGGGAAGACACAGAGACAGAAAAAGACCAGGATGAGGGAGACCACCAGCATGAGGGAGAGCAGATGGGTAAGGGAAAACAAGGAGATGAACCAGAAGAAAGAAGAAGAAAGAGCAAGCGTACTACTTTAAAGTAGTACGCTTTAGTCTGTTCTGTTGGTGGTGTGACTTTTTTCAATTGAAAAACTCACGTTTAGAGAATGTTACAAATAAAAGTCAAATTTCATTCAACATGCGTGTGTATTTTTTTGTAATTAAGTGTTCCACATGCACTAAAAAGTGCCCTCCCCTCCCCCCTCCTGAGCACCTGCCTCTCAAAATGTCTGTGCACGCCTCTGGAAGCCAGTATAGGAGAGATGTGATCTCTCTTTTTCATTTTCATCAGAACTCTGGCTGCAGCATTTTGGATCAGCTGAAGGCTTTTAACTACAGTTTGTGGACTTCCTGATAGTAAAGAAATACAATAGTCCAGCTTTGAAGTAACAAATGCATGGAATAGTTTCTCAGCATCACCCCTGGACAGGAGATTGCTCATTTTTGCAATATTCCTCAGATGAAAGAAGGAAATTCTAGAAACCTCTTTGATCTGGGATTTAAATGACAGGTCCTGATCAAAAACAACACCAAGATTTTTTACTTTATTATCTGAAATCAGTTTAATCCCATCCAAATGAAGTGACTGACTAATCAGCTTCTTTTTCAGAGACTCTGGTCAAAAGACTATAACTTCTGTTTTGTCTGCATTCAGAAGCAGAAAGTTAAGAGTCATCCAGGTTTTTATGTCTTCAGACATGCCTGTAATCTATGTAATGGGTTAGCTTCATCTGGATTATAGACAGATATAGCTGGGTATCATCAGCATAACAGTGGAAATTAATCCCATGCTGTCTAATAACTCTACCGATTGGGAGCATGTATAAAGTAAAGAGAATTGGTCCTAGCACTGATCCCTGTGGTACTCCACAGGTAACCTTTGAGCATGAGGAAGATCTATCATTAACATGAACAAACTGAATTTGATCAGAGAGATAAGATTTAAACCAGTTTGGTGCTGTTCCTTTAACTCCAACAAAATATTCAAGTCTTTCTAAAAGAATATTCTGATCAACTGGATCAAATGCAGCACTGAGATCCAACAGGACGAGCACAGATACAAGTCCATTATCTGAGGCCATGAGAATATCATTAGTGACTTTCACCAGAGCTGTTTCAGTGCTATGATGAGCTCTAAAGCCAGACTGAAACTCTTCAAAAAGTTCATTATGGTGGAAGTGATTGCACACTTGTTTGGCAACTACTTTCTCAAGAATTTTAGATCAGAAAGGAAGATTGGATATAGGTCTATAATTAACCAAGTCATCTGGGTCAAGAGACGGTTTCTTAAGCAGTGTTGGGATCTGGAGCTGTACCACCTGTCTCCAGCAGAGTGCGCCGTGGATCCTCCTGAGCTGAGCCTCCAACACACCTGAGGCGCATCTCGTCATCAGAGGATCCTCCTGTATATAACCTGCCTTCAGACCTTGCCTCAACGCCGCAGTGTTGATCCAGTTTAGAATCCTGTTTCCCTTGGAAGCTCTGGATGAGCTTAACCTGCCGAGCCTGCCCTCTGAGCCAAACCTGAAGACTCTTGTCTGGATTCCCCTGCAGCTCTTGGCTAAGAGCTGGAATCTCAAACCAAGGTCTGCCCTCAAGTCAGAAGTAAGACGCTGAAGCGGTTATTGGACTCTGCTGAACTAAAAGTCTCTGGACCCAACAGTTCCTCTCTGAAAGTTAAACCTGGACTCATCAAGGTATTCTTCTGAAACTCTCAAACTCTTCAGTCCCAGAGCTAACTGAACTGTCATCGTTACAGACTCCAGTGAACCTGCCTCCCGGCCTGAACCAGTCCCAGTGTTATATTTCATGTGCTTGTGCTTCAATAAACTCTGTTAAACTTTTCATCAGACTCCCTTGTGTTCTGCATATTGGGCTTTTCTGAACCCATCATGACAAGCAGAGGTTTAATTCCAGCAACCTTAAAAGCTTTAGGTACATATCCCCGTAACAGAGATAGATTAATCACATCTAGAATGGAGGAGGAGATCAAAGGGAATACCTCCTTAAATAACCTGGTTGGAACTGGATCTAACATACAAGTTGAAGGCTTAGATGAAGACAATAGTTTTGCTAACTCTGAAAGTTCAACTGGATCAAAGCAGTCTAAACCCGGTTCAGATTCCATGACTACCTCAGATGCTGCCCCCCCTCCAGAGACAAACCGGTCACAGATAGACGAGTGCTTATGATCTTATCTATAAAGAATCCCTTAAAATCATTACTTCTAAGAGCAGGTGGGATGGACTAAGCTATGGCTCTGGGTGAGTTGTGCAACTGTATTAAAAAGAAATCTAGGATTATTCTTATTCTCCTCTATTAATGAGGAGAAATATGCTGCTCTTGCTTTACAAAGGGTCCTCTTATACAGCAGTAAACTATTTTTCCAGACTAGGTAGGATTTCCGCAGGCCTGTGGAGCGATATTTTCTCTCCAGTTTCCTAGCAAGGAGCGAGCTTTGAGGAAATACTGTTATTTCTTCTCATTCTATGCCGTATGTCAGCACAAGATCCAAAGTATGAAGAAGAGAATGTGTGGGACTACTCACATTTTGAACAAAGCCAATAGTGTCTAAGATAGCGGGGGGGGGGACTGCCTAGTGGAGTCAGCGGGGGAGCTGGCTCCCTGGGAGTGCAGTAAGCACCCCAGTCCTTTGCTCCCCATCCCTGGATTCCTCCCTCTGCCTGCTCCATCACACTGCCGTCCAACCTTCTGATGACGTCCCCCACCCCAATTTTATTTAGCATTTTAGACGACACTTCCATCCACAACATTTTCACAACACGCATCTACGTAGGGCATTGTTCGGGGCGGTGGGGGTCAAGGGCACCGAGGGTGCGTAGCAAATGGAGGGGAGGAAGTAGCTGGGTGAATTAGTTAGGGGGGTGGGGGGGCCTGGTCAGGTGGCCTGTGCAAGGCATGTGGGCTCTTGCTGGGGGTGGTCTAGTCTGGGTGCGGGGTGGGGGGCCGGGCCTGAAGCAAGAACGAGATGGGTTGGTGTGGCGGTGTCACCGCTCCCCTCCCACTATCCGGATTTTAGGTTCACTAATTGGGTCATCCAATAATCCCGGGAACAACCATCGGTTCTGACTGGGGCTCCTGCTGGGGAATGGGTTGCCACTGGGGCCTTGGATCCCTGGGGCCCATGGCTGGATTCACTTCAGGGTGGCTGGCTGCCGGTGGCTGGCTGCCGGCGGAGCCTGCGGTCTCGTCCCCGCGGCTGCCAGGGGCTCCAGCATTGCGGTGGTTGGGGGACTTCCTCGAGGCCGTCTCTCCTCCTCCCTTGGTGGGGGTCGGATTTCTTAGGCTGGCCCCTCCTTTGTGTCTTCGCTCTTGGGGTTTATTTGGGCATCATGAGTGCTGATGTACTAGGGCAGTGGTTCCCAAAGTGTGGGGCGCGCCCCCTTAGGGGGCGCAATGCCATTGCAGGGGGGGGTGCGGGAAGCGGTAGGGATAAATGAAGAAAAAACAAAAACAAAAAAAACAGCGCTTGCTTGACTGAGCATAATGGACAGTTGTGACACTGCAACACAGATTTGAGAAGATCTACAGCAACAAGCAGGCTCACTACAGCCACTGAAAAGATGGGAGGATTAAAGTACAAATAAAAAACTCTCAGGGAGCTGTTCAATGTTTTCACTCCATTTGGCAAAGAGGCTTTTTTAATGTATTGATGATAGCAAAGTTAAATATTGTTACAAATAAAAAAAAGAAATATGTTTAAAATAACACAGACAGCAAAGAATCCGCTTCTGATCTACAGTATAGAACTATGAAAAAAATACAGTTACACAAAAGTGTTCCGCTGTAAAGATGGTGTATAGTTTGTTTTGTTGCAACCTGAAGTGTGAAATAAACTTCAGTGGAGTTTGAAAACAAAATATGTGTATAGATTTATTATATCTGGTTGAACGATGTGTCTGCCCAGTTGATTTTTTTTGGGGGTTGGGGCGTGGAAATTTTATTGTAATCCAAAGGGGGGCCCAGAAGAAAATCTTTGGGAACCACTGTACTAGGGTGTAAATGTGGGGTTTGGCCTGATGTGTTTGTCTAGGTATGTATGTGTTTGTTTAGATGTTTGTATGTAGATGTATATATTTATATATAACATCTACATACATACATGTGTATATATGTATATAATTGTGTATACATGTATATATATATATTTTTCTGAATATCGGAAAACAAAAACAAGTTTAACAGGAAGGTTACTCTACTTTAAGTAAATTTAAGTGGAACTAGAGGGAGAGGGAGAGGGGTATAAATGATATGAGTTTTACTTCCTCATTCACCTTTTAAGACCATTAATCAATATCATTTACCTGTTTATACCGAATGGTTTATCTGATGGAGAATTTTGTTTCTATTTATGTCCAGATTGAATAAGTTAGTTTGGAAATTGGCGTTTGGTTTGGTTGATGTTAACTAGTCTCTTTGTGTGTATTTGGTTGATTAATTTATTGTTTGTCAAGTTGTCTGAAATCAATTCCTATTCATTCATTCCTGAATTGGAAGGTGTTGTCCATGATGGATGGAAGCTTGGACAGCACCCTCCTCTCAGCCACTGAGTCCACTGAGTCCAGACTGGAGCCTGAGACAGAAACAGCCAGTTAGTTCAGTCTCTTTGTGTCCCGCTCTGCGCTGCCAGGGGCCCAGCAGACGACAGCGTAGAGGAGGGCTGATGCCTCCACAGAGTCAGAGAAGGTTTGAATCAGTGGCCCGATAACTCCAGAGGAGCTCAGCCTCCTCTGGAGGGGGAGGGAGGCGGCTCTGGCCCTTATACAGCCTGGCCCTTCATGTGGAAATCTCTAAGGGGAGTGAACCCGGTGGGCCCCAGGGACCAATAACATACCGGGGTGGGTGTTCAAGGAACTGCTGACCTGACTTTGAAACACCTGGCAGGACCGATCAAGTGTGCCAGCATGCTTTAAGTCTGCCTCCATCATTCCGGTCCCAAAGAACTGGGACCTGGATTCTGCCGGTTTACGACCCCGGATCTCTCTCCTGACCCCAACTTGGATTTTCCTTCGGTGACTCCTTTGTACCTCATCGACACCGGCTTTGGCTTCACCTTCTGGAAACTCCTGCTTAATTTTGTCCACTTGCTTCTTCTTGTCAGCCAGTTCAGCAGCCTGGGCTTTGGTTCCTGGACCTGTCTGGACAGTGGGAACTGTGGGAACTGTGGGAAATAATCCGGCTGGAATCCACTCGTTTCTGGGTCCAAAGTTCTGACAATTTTAGGTATAATGTTCAGAAAGTAAAACCTTTACTAATTGCAGGTTACATTCTGACTATTAATATCTGCACAGTTATACTCTGATAGAATGAGGGACACATGGATCTCAGTTCAGAGGGGTTGTTCGTTTTATTCGCAGTTAAAATGTTGATTATAAGTTCATATGAAGCTCATACATGTTCTGCTTTACTTCCTGGTTCCATCAGTTCAATCTTTTTAGATAGAAATGCTTCAGTCAGCTGATGATGATGATAAAAAGGATGAAGGTACTAAACACTGGATTCAACCAGCAGCTGAAGATGTGCAGAGGATCAGCCACAGTGTCTGAAGGTGGAGCCTCACTTCACTGTCTAGGCTGGAGAAGAACAGCATGACTGGTGTGACTGATATCAAACAAAGCTGATCTGTGGGGATCTTTGCTTTTCATCAATGTTTGATGAAAATAAAGAGAATTTGTGAAGTAAATATTTTTTAGGCTTTCTGGAAGATGAAGTCAGGTCAACATATTTACCTGTCAGACTTTCATCTGTGAGACTGACTCCTGAGAAGGAACCGCTGAGCGCTCTGCACCGTGTTCTGAAAAGTTCACAGTTATACAGAAAAACAGGATCAAATATTAACAGGCGAAGAAATGATTATCATTTAAAGGCTGTAAATCTGGACAAGTTTATGTTGTTTGAATAAATGTTTTTACTGCAGCACCATCAATTTCTGCTTTTTGATTAGACAACTGACTGGAGTGGATTAAAGAGTATTTAACTGAATCTGTAGACCTCTATATCCTCCTGTGAGGCGTTCCAGGAACACACCACTAGGAGGACGACACGGACCCCATAGAGGGACTATGTCTTTCTGTTGGAGGAGGAGTCTGGATGGAGGGAAGTCTGGGAGTCTCTGCTGAAGCTGCTGCCCCGAGAGCCGTTTTTGGATGATGAGTACATGATATATATGGCATAAGAGGACAAGATGGGGGCACTGTGATAACAGCAGCTGCATCCTTATGCATCGATCCAGTAGGTTAGTTTATGACTAACAGCGCCTGCTGGAGCAACAGTCATCAAGTAGTTTTTCTCGACTTGTAAATACAAATACTGTCAATAATTTAAGTAGATCCGCAGCGCTTTGAGCACATGGCCCACAGGTCCACAATCCAGTGGAGTCGCCCAGTATCACCCACTGCAGGAGGAACAAGCAAGGGCAGCGCGAGCCGTGGTCAAAGCGCGGCAGCAGAGGTGGGCTAACAGCAAAGCTAAAAGTGAACCCTTATGAACCGCCAATCCCCTCAATGCTGCTCTTCAACATCCATTCAGTGGACAACAAAAAAATCTAAAACTCGAACTCTCTTCAGAGAGGGAGTTTGGTAACTGCTGCGCCTTCATCCTGACCAAATCATTTGTTATGCTAATTCCTGCATACAGGTCCCAGCTGATCAGCAACTTACAGCAAAGCAGGTCAGAGTGACATCTAAGTGGGCCATGGAGAAACTCCACTATAAGATAATGCTCTGACTATAAGATAAATAGAGTATGCAGTGACTGTGTCAGCCTTCATAAACAAATGCATTGAGGAAATCAGCATCACAAACCCGGGCCAACCAACCACCCTGGATAAATGGAGAAGTTCAGAAATCACTAAAAGCACAAAACTCAGCTTTCAAGTGTGGCGACAGAGAGGCTCTGAAGACAGTGAGAGCCAACTGGAACAATTCCATCAGACCAGCGAAGCAGAACCACAGCCAGAAGATCCAGGATCTCATCATGATGAAGTGCTTAGAAACGCTGGTTAAAGAACACATCGTCTCCAGTCTGCCGCCAACATTCCACCCGTTCCAGTTCGCCTACCGACGGAACCGCTCCACCGAGGACGCCATCTCTGCTGCTCTCTGCCTGGCACACCTGGAGGAGAAGAACACCCACGATGGATGCTGTTCCTGGACTTCAGTTCAGCTTTCAGCACCATCATCCCACAGCATCTGATGGGCAAACCCCTCTCTGCTATTGGCTGCTAGACTTCCTCACCAACAGCCATCAGTCAGTCTGGGTCGGACCTCTGATGTCATCAGTCTAAGCCCCTCCCCTCAGGGCTGCGTCCTGAGCTCCCTGCTGTTCACCCTGATGACGCACGACTGCGTCCCCAGGTTCACCACCGATCACATGGTGAAGTTTGCAGACGACACCACGGTGGTGGGCCTCATCAGAGACGACAACGACCTGGACTACAGAGAGGAGGTGGAGCAGCTGGTGGAGCAGAGATAACAGCCTGATCCTGAAGGTGGAGAAGACCAAGGAGATCATGGTGGACTCCAGGAAGAAGCGGCCTAACCACGCTCCACTGCTCATCAACAGCTCAGCTGTAGAGGTGGTCAGCAGCACCACATTCATCACAGACACCCTCACCTGGACTGGAAAAAAACACCTCACTGGTCCAAAGGGCCCAGAAACGCTTGGACTTCCTGCGGAGGATGAGGAGAAACCACCTGCCCCCCCCCCATCCTCCCCACCTTCTCCAGCAGCACCATAGAGAGCGTTCTGAGCAGCTGTCTCACTGTGTGCTGTGGAGGCTGCAGCGCCTCAGACTGGAAGAAGTTGAGAAAAGCAGAGAGGATCATGGGGGCTCCTCTTCCCTCCATTAAAGACATTTCATCCCAGCCCCCCCTCCCTCCCCCCCACCTTCTCCAGAAGCACCATAGAGAGCGTTCTGAGCAGCTGTCTCACTGTGTGCTGTGGAGGCTGCAGCGCCTCTGACTCTGCGTCACACGGATAACACCAAACCAAAACACAGCATATTGGCTCCATGTATATTAATGCTCTGAACTTCCCATATGTGTTTTTTGGCACCATGTTTTTTTTTCTTCCACATTGTTTACATTTGATCCCTGCTGAACTTTATGGAATGGAAATTTTGTGAAAGCGGTACAAACAAATTTTCGTTTTGTATAAACTCTGTATAGAAAATGGCAATAAAGTTTGTCTAAGTCTAAGGAAATCAGGATGGACGGAGCTGATGAGTAAAATGACCTCATATTAGAGGGTAACTTTCAGTACTTTCAGATAAATGTTGTATGTGATATTCCTGTTCCACTCCATGCTCCATAGGCACTTTGTTTGTCTTTAGTTTGGTTTTGTTTTTCTTTTTTCTTGTTTTTTGTTTCCTTTTTACTTTGGTTTCTATGTTGTTGTTTTCTTGATATATTCAAAAGGGATAGAAACTGATGTTTATCTGTAACTTTCTTGATTTGTATGTTTATCTGTATGCCAAAAATACTTAAAGACTAAATAAATGAATAATTTATTTCTATTATTTAATTACTAAATAAAATTTGATAAACTAGTAAGATGATAAGATTTAATTACCTCCATTAACATAGCCACTGTCATCGGCCCCACCCCTCCAGGAACTGGAGTTATGAATCCTGCTCTCTGATTGGCTGAATCATAGTGAACGTCACCAACCACCCGTTTGCCGCTGGCTTTGCTCTCATCTGGAAAAGTTCAAAGGTCAGGCTGCTATCCATCCCACAGGGAGCTGACTGAGTAGTTGTTGGATGGATCCACTCAACCTGGAACATGATTGATTCCACAGTCGATGACCAAAGCTCCTTCCTTCACCCACTCCCCCCTCACCATCTCTGCTCTGCCTGCTCCCACCACCAGGATGTCGGCCCGCCCCACCTGAACACGGGGGACATAACATCCACTAATAAACAAGTGGCGCGTGGCATTCTGTGATCCAAATGTGACTCTGTAAGCTCACCTGCTCAGGTAGGTCTGGGGTCTTTGAGTGACAGGTGGTCACTGTGGCATGGTTCCAAAGCAGCAGGTCATGCATGGGAGCTCCGACGATTTTACTGCGACCGATGACCACAGCGTGTTTGCCTGCCACTGACACACCTGCACAGAATCCAAAAGTCAAGGTGTGATGTCATTGTGAGAGAGAAATGACTGATAACTAAGCATACTAACTCTTAGCGGTCATTGTGAGGTCAACAGATACAACAAAGAATGTCTGAGGTGTGTTAATGACTAAATATAAAAATCTCCTAAAAGCTTCTTCTGTTTATTGGCTCTAACCTTAGATTTATGGCCAGTGGGGAAGTAAAACAGGATGGGTTGAACATGACTTCCTGTAAGTCATATGTCAAATGAAGCTTTGCTATTGATTCCTTGTGGTTTTCTCTTTTTTTAAAGTTCTGCATCATTCAAATGTCATGATTTTGGCTCTAGTGTTGGTCTGATTGACCATTCGACACACCTGCTTCCTGTTATTGTCAGCCTCCATCCGATCGACCTGCACTTCTGAATATAAAACCTGCTCTAAGACCAGTCACTAGTGCCAGATTAGTGAGAGCCATTGGTGAGTGTAATCCACTATTTCTGAAAGTCTGTCTGCCTGTTTCTGACCTGAATCTGACCTCTGATTCTCTGAGCTGGCCTAAACCATGTCAGACCTGTTTAGTTGTGCTGTTTGGATCTCTGACCCAGTTCTGTGTCCTGATTAAGATTTCTGATCAGCTGCTGCTGACCCTCGATCTGTTCTCAGAGTCTGGTTATTCCTCCTGATCATCCCACCTGACTGAGTGACTATCCATTAGCTGCCTCTACCGTGAGTAAATTCTTTCAGAAGCTGGTGTTTCAGTCTCGACCTGCAGTGGTTTACATTTCAATATACAGTTTTATGCTAACTGATCTCACCTGGGTGAATTCTGGGTCCTCTATTGCCGTTCGCTACATAAAAGGCCAAAACTGGATTTGTTTCCGGGGAACAAGATGGTTTCTTATTAGATAAGGGATTCTGGGCTGACAGTAAATATTACTGTTGTTCAAACCAATGTTCTTATTAGCAAAATATAACATGAATAATATCTGAATTCTAGGCTTGGGATTTTATTTTGAAGGTACAAAGCTAGCAAACCTGGCACTATGTGGAAATGGAGAAAACATGGAACAGTGAAGAACATTCCCAGGAGAGGCTAACCTCACAACCCCCACCCCCATAAGACCTTGCCTGTTCAGAAAGGCCAACATTTCCCTCTAATGACCCCCTTTCAGAGACATAGACAGGTATTGGGCATTGCAGGTTAACAAAGAACCCAAATGTCTGCTCATTCAAAAGGGCCAGACCAATTTATCCATTTTAATTTGGATGTTTTCTAAGCCTAACCCAAGGCTTTGTTGGGTTACTGTATAAAGCCTGGAACTTAACATTATTTCTGACATTTTGAATTGAAAAAGTTTCCTTCTAACTTGGAAACAAAGTCCAGAAGGTTGTTTTTTAAGTTTTGTGGGATTTCAATATTTTGGTTTAAGGCGGGACATATTGCTCTAACCCTAACCCTAAAGCAGGAGCTACCCAGGCTAATGCCGAGCAGCTCAGGAGGCCGAAGCATAGCTGCTGTTATCCTACCTATTTGTCAGATTCCAGGATTTCATCTTTGAAAGAGGAAGAGCAGGAACATAAAATCCGAAGTTATTATTAATGGTGTCTGCTGTTATTTCAATTGTTTGATTTGATTGCTGTGATTGGTTATAACCAAACCATCAATCTTGCTGCCAGGTTAGCATGTGGAGTGCGACCAACACAGCAGTCCAGAAACCTACCATCATACCTACAGCCAAACACAGTGATGGTTGCATTGTAGCGGCTAAAGTGGACTTTTAGTTTAAATAAATAGAAATTGCTTAAAAAGATAGATAATAATTTAACTTGAATTTCTAATTTCATAGATAGATATATTTCATGATTAAAATGATAAATATTATATGTACAAAGTTAGAAGAATAAGAATTCATGTTTACAAGGTTACTTAGATTTTGGATTAAAAAATGTGTACTGTCGCTTTAAGGACGGAAAGCCGGCTTCCTCAGCCTCTTCATTTTTATTTTTAGATTGCAAGGAAGGAAGCAAACAGTCTTCTTACCTGTTGCTCTTCAACTTTATGACAGACTTTAAACCCTTTTATTTTGATCATAGGATATTTTTGTTAATTCCTGTAAGTTTTGTAAGCTTTAAGAAGAACACTAACCTTCAGTTTTCATCTTCAAGACGTTGTGGAGTGGATTTATTTTAATTACATGGACATTGACAGTGGAAACGGTAACTTTGGTTTGGAGAATATCAACGTAAGAAATAGCCCTTTCCTCACAGTCTCACCAAGATCAAACCTCTACAAGCATGATGGCCTGGGACGCCTTGTACTCAGAATGACTCGCTGTAACTCATGGAGCCACATATTCAGCCGTCAGTCTAGAAGCAGAAGGTCCAACAATCACAGGAGAAAATCGGAACATTTGGATTGTATACGTCCACCTCTGAATGGCGACAAAAACCAAGCTTAATAGATGCCTAGTCCAACTCTGGACTTAAATCTGAGAGTTTGTGTAGCATTCCCTCAAACAGGCCATTAGAACTAGAAAGAAAATCAATATGGCTAAAAAAGCAGAAAGTCCCCCTAAGTGATTTTTAATAAAATGTTGTTTTGAAAACATTGCTTTGTGTTTAGTTTTTGTTGTGTTTTTTCTCTCTTCATTTATGGGAGTGTTTGCATAGCGCCACCTGTCTGTCGGATGAGCTCCATGCAGCCGTTGGGGGTGCAGGGGATGAAGCAGTCATTCAGATCTCCTCGAGACAACTTTCCAGCATTGATGCAGCTCAGGCTTGGGAAACAGATGAGGACAGATTGAACCTATGAACCTCAAACCATCACAGCTGTGACTGGGTATTCGGGGGTGGGGGGGTGTGGGGGGGTTACTCTATGGTAGGAGTTTAAGGATGATGAAGCTCAGAAGGGAAGAAGAAAAGGTCTGGCTGTGCAGAACCAACCCGTCCACATCTTTGTCCGGAGAAACGGCATTGGTGATGAGCTCTGTGTCGATTCTGTTGACTGAGTCCAGAGGCAGCTGGACGATCAGACCATGCACAGACAGGTTTTCATTTACAGACATGATGCTCTGCAACACCTGCAGGACGACAGGAAGCTGTCAGGAACTTCTGACCACTAGTACAGATGATGAGGTTGGGCAGAGAGGTTTTCCCCACCTCTTCCTGTGTCGCTGAGCTCGGCAACCGAACATGTTTGGCATCAATTCCGATCTGCAGGAACAGAGAGGAGCAAAGTCAGGCTGCAGCAAACGTTACTCATTTTAGGGAAATGATCTGTAATAAAAGTGACAGTTTAACATATTGAAGAGTTCTCAGGCTACAACGCTTCAGAGCTCAAAGCCTTCAAAAGTTTCAGAAATCTTGGATTGAAGTTTTGTCTCCCTGCTGTTGATTGTTTCTTTTTTCCACCCAGGACACGTTTACCGTCTCCATGATCAACTGCTGGACATGAAATCTGTTTTTCTCTCTATGACTGGAAGAACAGCTACCTCTAGTGGATGAACACGAGATAACACACGCTCAGTAAAAATCATTTATAATTATAATATATTATTGATATCAATCTTATTTTTGATATTCTTGGTTCTTATTATTGTGTAAAACTTTGCATTTCATCAACATCTAAAGAAGCAACAATTTTTCCAGGTGGTTCGTGGAAAAAGTTCCAAACTTTGCAGAAAGCAAAAGTTTGACTCTTTTCCACTCTTATTATAAAGTTTACATTTTAGACAGCTTCCAAACTTCGCAGGACTTATAAAAACTTACGAGAATGTGCAGCTTTAGAGAGCTACCAATAAAGAACAAAAACACAGAGGAAGAGAAAAACAAGAAAAATGACCTGGAATAATTAAACATATAGCCTAGTAAACTAGCCCCGCCCACCAGCGGCGAGAATCATTTTTGGCTGCAGTGGTCTAGCCTCGGTCAAAGCCCTAGAACTGGCGGGCCAATCACCACGCAGAGATGTTTCGAATTGCTAGATGCGGAGCGGGCGGGGTTTTAAGGGTGGGATGACAAAGCTGTGCGACGCTGGAACAAGGAAGATGGCAGCAACTATTGAACAGTTCTCAGCTTTGGAATCAGTTTTGGAACAATTAGACTTTAGGTTTTTGTTGAAAAGCAGGAAGAGGCTCTACGCTCAGTCATTTTAAGAAGGACGTATTCGCTGTTTTACCAACAGGCTGTTTGTTTCCACCCCCCCACCAGCTTCCTGTGGCCCTTCCTACGTCAAAGTCAGTGGCTCTCATTGGTCAGAGCGTTGGCCAATAGGCACAGACATGGTTTGAAACACAACGGGTTGTTCTCATCAACGACCTTCCGATGTCTTATTCATCAAGGCCAGACTAGATTACACATTTAATCTAAAATTTGTTACAGTTTATCAGGCTAATGAAACATTTCATTATCATTCATTCAACACTTGAAAAGCAGAAACCTCCTGCAAATTGAGCCACCAGGTCTTTGCTACAGAAATCTGTTATAAAGTGTTGAAGTTTTCCTCAGTGTGGAGAAAAAACAAAATAGACAACAGCAGAGGTCATGATAGAACGGCACATTGGGCCTCATGCTACAATATTTTCTTATTCTTGTCCTAAAACTCTCTTCCTTTTTCTCCAACCAACAAACATTCTTAACTTCAGTTAATGATTCTGGTAAACCTGCTGCAGTCCACCTGGACTGAGGCGCATTCATGAGAAATATGAACATGCATAATTACGCCCCAACGATGCCACTTCCCTCTGACAGGAGGCTGCGATACAACAGGACCAAAACCTCATGTCCCAAAAACAGTTTCTTCCTATCTGCTACCAGCCTTATCAACAAGGCCCAGAGACCCCCGTCACACCGCCTCTCTCCCTCCCTGTTCAGGACCTACAAGCTACACCAACGTAGCATCTCCAGACCTCCTGCGTTACATTAACACACAGTCTGTGCATATAGCTGTAGAGTCTGTATTCTGCATATATATATCTAATTTGTCTGAACCATCAACACGAAGTCAAGGCAAACCTATGCTGCAATAAACTAGATTCTGATAACGCTGTAACTTCCCAGGATTGAAGACAAAGAAGAAAAACTGCTGGTTCAGACATGAAGTTTCTGCTGACTGAGATCTGAGCAGCAGAAAAAAACAGAACAGGGAAATAAATCAGAGCTGGAAATGAAATGGACGGGCTTTTATAGACATAAAAACAAAATAAAAATGATCATTTGATCTGAAAACAGTGAATATCAGTGAATATAACAGTCCATCTCCAGACCGCGTCTATCATCCCTTCATCATCTCTCCATCCCTCTCAGAACCAAACATCCAGATGTTAACGGATGAATCCAGAGCCAAACATCCAGATGTTAACGGATGAATCCAGAGCCAAACATCCAGATGTTAACGGATGAATCCAGAGCCAAACATCCAGATGTTAACGGATGAATCCAGAGCCAAACATCAGGATTCAGCGTGAGAACAAGTAGCTGCCATGGAGAGAAATGAAGGACAGTCTAAACGTTAGAGGAGCTTTGCTCAACAACCATCCATTTTCTGTTCCACATCTTATTTCTATAGTAGATTGATCTCATATAGAGTCAATAACTGGTCTTTCTTTGGACCAACCAATGAAACCCCTGGATCCCCACATGCCAGCTGCATGGGGAGGGACCCAGAGTTCTGGCATCTAGAATTGTAGAGCTGCAGAATATAGAATGATGCAGCCTGGTAACATGGATGATTGCTTCTAAGGAACAACAGATGTGGTCATTTAGGGAGAAACTACCAGCTGGCTGATGGATCTAGACTCCTACATCAGTCTGGAGGAGAACGAGTTCCTACCTGAGAGAAGATCAGAGACAGGAAGACGGAAAATGAGGCGTCTCCTCCTAAACTAACTATTTAGGAACAAATATGTTTGTATGAACAGTTCCTGCATGAGGCCCATTGACTTTATCAGCAGATTAGTTAATATGCAGGAAAACACCATCAATATGCAAATGAGCAAAGGCTTGGTAGTGGAGCCCAGGGCCCACCTAAGGCACCTTCCTACCACAGTCCAAGAGATGGATGGATAGTTTTTATTGTATCTGTAGGATTGTACTAAAGGAAGAAGATCTGAGCAACAGCAGAAATATGCAGGATAGTAGAAGCTGCATGAACTGAGCCTGGAAATCAAGGAGTAGGAAAAATATTCAAGTTCTCACCTCAGCTGCAGCCTTCAGTTTGGTGCTGATATAGAGGTTTGAATCATCTCTGTCTCCCACCTGGAACAAACATACAGCCGTGGTTTAATACAAAGAATTGACTTCAGTTCGTTTTCTTCTATAGCTTAACAAGAAAATTCCTCACCTGAATCACACCTTTGATCTGATCCTAAGCCAACAAAGTGAGGACCAGTAAAGGATCCTCAGTCTACATCAAAGCAGGAGTAGCTGTGGCTCCTGCAGCAGGTTAGTGATTAACCTAAAACAGGCTGAGCTTTGACTGAACCTCTGCAGGTTTTGCTCGGTCTAACCGGTCGGCCCAGAGAACAGAAGCAGCTGCAGTAAACTCAGCAAGTTCAGGCCAGTTTCACCTAAATCTGAAGGTCAACAATCCTTATTACCTCCAGATAACATGATTTATTGCTTTATCTATTATCAATGAATGAATGTGTTGGTCCACAGCTCAGAACCTGTTAGGAAAGCAATTCTGTAATTGAACACAAATGTCTCACCTGCAGAACAACCAGACTGGGTCTGAACCCTGAGAACTGGTTCTTCATCTTCTCCACATTCTTCTTCAGCCTCTCCCTCACCAACCTGGACAAACAGATCCAGGATCAAGTCCAACTGCAACCCAGCAGCATCTAAATCACAATGAAGTCTAGATTTTGCACATTAGATTGCAAAATCTCACCAACTGCGGTTCTATCACAAATGTGCAAAAAAAAAAAAAAAAAAAAGTGACAATGCTAATTTTCAAAATGCCTGTAGTCTATGTAATGAATGGATTTGTTTGTTGACTTCATAACTCTTGGATACAAAAAGACAATAAAAGCTTTCTAAGTCTAAGTCTTGAAAAAAGAAGCAGCGTTTATAAACACATAAAATATTTCCATATTTCAGGCTCTAACTTCTGTTCATCGCTGTGAAGTAAATATAGGAAATATTTTCCTGATGAATCCATAAATGGCGCTCCATCATCCTCCAAGGCAGTAAGGTTCAGTTGCAGATCCTGTGATTGTTGTGTAGCAAATTAAAGTTTCCATTGCAGTTTTACTGAATATAATAATTTTAATGGGATCAAAAAACATCTCATTTAAGCATAAAAACATTTGTAGCTTTTTTTTTTATTGCAGTGTTTCCATTTAGCTGATATATTTTGTATTATTATTTATTATTGTTTTCTAGTAGCAAGGTTCTCTTGTCCTGAATGTCTCAGCATTACTTTACTTCCTGCATATTTAGTGTGGCCAAAATGTCCATGTTATTAGTTTTGGCATTTTCTACACTTAACAGAAAGGTAGATTAACCCGCTTTGATTTAAATCATTTGCTTCTAAATATGTTGTGTCTTTCCAGGTCTGTTAGCTGTCTGAGATGTCTTTGCTCTCCAGGATGACCCTTTGACCTTTCACAGATTGATGAGCAGCAGCAGTTGATTCTCTCATTGCTGTTGTTTTTCCGCCTGGACTTTGTGTAACACCCCAACCGATGTACGCTGATGAAACTTTGTTTTAATAGAAGTTGTCAAACTCTTGAGAAAATAATTTTTTTCTCTTGATTTATTGCTGCTCCATTCACTTACTTGGAGGTCTTGTTGCCAGAGATGACTGTTGCTACGGACCTCCTGCTTGCCTGGTTACCAGCAGAGCTCAGGCGAAGTGAGTGGGAGGCCAGAGACAACATCGCTGAAAGGAAGCAATGAAAACGTCACCTGGAAGCACCTGATGAGATACTAAGGATTCTCATAGGTACTTTCCTATTTTGAAATGTAATCCGATTACTGCTGGTCTCCAGTTTATAAGCGGAGCTGAACATGTTCAGGGAACGTCTAGCTTAAGCCCCGCCCCCCTGCTAAACAACCTTGGGCTTCATTGATGAGTGAGAAGTCAGCAGATAAAGACATTTCAAAGTTTCCTTTATCAGACCTGTTGAAATGAGAGTTCAACCCAAAGCTGCTGCATCTGTCTTTTAAACACAAAGAGGAGTTGAGAGAATGGAAACATTTGACCCTGCACTCTGGTTAACAGATAAACTAAATCTTATCTGTATGGATCAATAAAAACATTTTCCATGAAATACATGAAGCTGCTGAAATGTAAACTGGTCCACACCAGAAGTTCAGGACTAAACCAAACTCAGCTGCTCTAAAAGTGTTTTTAGGTCAGGGTCCAATATTTCTTCCTGTCGCAGGAACTTTCTCCAGGTTTCTATCTGCTCTTAAAGCACCAGAGAGCTTCAAATGCAAAGAACCAGGCTGAGCTTCCTGCATCAAATGCTTTCAAGTAAACAACTGATAAAACAGTTAAAGGTTGGAAAAGTGTTTTTTCGGTGCCTCAGTAGAAACATGCATGGAAAACTGAAAGTAAAGCTTATTATCTTAAGATTGAGCTATGATGAGCTGCTGAAAGCCTTTCAGATTAAAGAACCAGTATAAATCTGTTTCCTCCTCCAGCTCAGCCAGTCTGCAGCTGCAGACACATAAACAGGCAGCTGGACTGACTGAATGCATGCAGCTACAGACAGACACACAGAGAACCGCTCTGACAGAGAGACCTTACCTAACCGCAGGGCAGAGCTCACAAACTCACAGCTGCTCCAGATGTTTTTTACTCCGTCCCAGCCCAGCCTCTGGGGGAGGTTCTCTGA